CTTTTAAATTTCATTTCATTTCTATTACCTGAGTTCTCAAGGTCTTCCAATTCTGCATGCTTGGTATTCCAACCCTTCTCAGTACTGGTCATGGTTTCCAAGTCCCTGCTATCAAGTTTCACTACCACACTTCTAATCTGGGGCTAAAAAAATCAGAGTAAGTTAAGTGCCAACAAGGGGAAATGCAGTAAAAAAGTGTTAAGAGCCAGCCCAAACGACAAAAATCAACAGTGGCAAAGCTGGAACAACACAAATCCCCCAATTCCTAATCCTGTATTTGTTTTGTCACCTAACACTGCACTTCTGATCAGGTGTGAGGAAGAACTTGCAGGTTCAGAAAGGTGATGTACATTAATACCTGACAAAATTATCCCTTCAGTGTTTTTTGTCAGAAGTCTAATATCTATCTAATCTATTGATAATCATCCTCAGCATGAATAGTTATGTGTAACTATTTATCCCCAGTTAAGTCAGAGCAATGTATACACACAGATGATGACATTCCATGCCTTGCTTCTTAGGCTTGCACAGTCTCCAAGGATCTCCAGACATAAAATGCATGGCGGTTTTAACATGATAGCCTGAACTGAAACTCTGTAAGCAATAAAATTTAGAGAAACAGCTTAGTTAATGCTCAGAACGTGGTCTGGCAGCCTGCCATGCATAAACATGCACTGAAACCGAGTTAATGCCAAGATTCTTAGCTTTCAACTTCATAGAAATTCCTTGTGTGGTTTATACTAGATCCTCTTAGTTCATTTAACCTTTTTCTTTCTTTTTGCAGTTTAATCCATGGCTAGTTGAACTTATTACCTTTTATATATAAGCATTAATAATGTAATAGACATAGCCCCAAGTAGAAGTAATAGAATTAGTCCGTTAGTATAATTTTGATTAAAGACAGATCTAACACAAAAATGACATTTATTCTGTGCCTTCTGTACCAAGCCTCTATGAACACAATGAGATGCTGCAGTGTGACTTGTTTCAATAACATGTATGCCTATTCCCATAACAATAAATGCTTCCTAAGGCTCATAAGAATTCACATTCAGCTATCAAATCTATTCTGAAGTTCCTCTCAAGCCAAAGGCTCCCTCTCAACAGGTTTGATCAAAAGATTGAGGCCTTCATACTTGGGTTCATGGTATCAGAAGGTCTAATTTGACTTTCATAATCCTGATGTCTGCATTTCCAAGCCTGAGATCTGCACAAGGGAAATAGCTGGAGGTCCTCCCTAGAGAGTGCACCTTCCTTACTTTTTTCTTTTTCCAGTAATAATTACATTGATTTCGTTTTAATTTTTTTAGAAACTTACTAGTCACTTAAATATGTACCAAGCCACATTCAATATATGGGTTAGGTGAGTAATAAATTCCATGTTACCAGAGATTCTGAGCTCCATCCTTTCTTATTTACAGCTTCAACATACAGTTGTAAGGAAGAAAAATACTATTATCCCCAGCTATAAAATGCAACTTAAGACACAGCTAAGATTTTGTCATGTATCACACAAAGCCCATGGCAGACAAAGAAAAGGGATGAAAGACAGACTATAAACCTGAATAACAGGTTCAGACTGTCCACAGACATTGCACCATTATTGATGCTGGGCAGATGTAAAACATGCAAGACTTTCAAAAGCAAATGTTTCACAACAGAGCAGTCACATTGGTCTTGCTATTTATTTACAGCCGTTTGATTTTAAAATGGAGAACTTAATCAACAAATTGTGGTCAAATCACACAAAAAGATTGTGTTGTAAACTGTTGTTTTAGACACCATCCCCTGAGCCCTTTGTAAAATGATGACACATTTCACACTATTGAATTCAGTCACATTTAAAAACTTAACATGATTCTGTGGCTGTAATGCAGATTTCAAATGAGGTGTACTTCTGTGCTCTCTTTTCACTGAAAAGTAGAGACTGCTGAGACAATAAGTGCAAGTACCATGCTGCCTTTGCCCAAATAAAATATGGATCATGCTAAAAAGAAAAATCAATCAATAGCTTCTCCTCAAATTAGGCCATATTGGCCCATAGCTCAATAAGGATGACCAATTGATTTTGAAAAGAGTAACTGAAGAAGTTGAGAAAAGTTTAATTTAAAATTTTGTATTCAATTACACATTTTCTAGGTAAGCAACCCACCCAGTACTGCAACATTATGACAGATTTATATTCACATTTGTGTGCGCAGATGTTTGTGCTGATGCACATAAAGTGGCCACACCCAAACACATCAGATATCAGCTCCACACCCTCAGTGCTTCCCCTCACCATACAAAAGGGCACAGTTATGTAAATATTTGTGTAAATATGTGTATATAACATGACATAAATTTCAGACAGTAGCTAAAGGTAATTGTGCTAATTGCTGCAACCTTGTCTCTGCTGATTTACAAGGTATGAAGCAGGGCTTCTGCCCTGGAGTAACAGCAGTGTCAGATCCAAGAAAGTTTTAACTGCAACACCATTTCTGTACTCCAGCCTCCTGTGCAAAGCCTACACTGAGAACCTCATGTAGACATGATGTCTATAAAATTAGTTTATTAGTTTGTCAATGAGGGGAAGAGGGATGATAATTTTCCTAGAAATCAACACTTATCCACAAAACGGTGGTCTAGTCCATCCACAGCAATTAATACAGTTATGATATGTCTTATCAGGCAGCCTTTTAAGAAATGTTTTCACAAATATTTTAACAATCTATCCCCAACAGCACAGCCATGAAGCAAGGACCAGATTTCTTCTAACCACATCTCTGCATGCAAGAAGTGTGCTGTCACTGCTACACCTGCTATGCTGGCAGCAAGTCTACCTATACATGTCTTCATCTGTGGACACAGAACCTTTCATCGAAGATTATGATCCAGTAAATCGATTTGGTTGAAGCCAAGCAATTTAGAGCTTAATGACATTTGTAAGCTTTTAATATTTTCTTTTTGGAAAAGGCTTAGCAGGAGACGATTAGTAGTCTCTGTTAATTTGCTCCATAAAAGGTTTCATGAATAATCATATGTAACATGCTAGTTTTGAAGTAATTAAATAAAACCATTAAGATGGCCAGATAGAAAGATACCTAAGCTTTGCAAGAACTTTATACAATTTGCTTTGGCTTGGCAGACCACTAGTTAAGGTGAGTTTTAGTTTTCCATAGAATGATTCTTCCTATATAAGTTTTGAGGCTTTATGAGGTTTTTTAAGATTTTCAGAAGGTCTAAGAAAGCATTCTTAGCTGTGAAATCCTAAAATATGAGAGGCATTCTTCATGAATATTTTCTACAAGAAGAGGAATAGTTTCTGGACTTGTGAGACTGTCTCTTGGGAAAGGGGACAATAAAAGAAGTTACATGGACTCTAGTTTTAAAGAGAAAAGAAAGAGGGAAGTGGAAAACAAAAATTACATAAAGAAGGAAGCAAATCTATCTCTAGCTAGAAGTGTTTTCAAATTAATGTGTCAGTCCTTCATTCAGTGTACCATTTTCAAATGCTGCTCAATTCTCACATCAAGTGTGATGTAGAAATTAACAAGTTTAATCCTTAACCTCTGCACCCCAGAAGACTAAATCAGATGTTAACAAAGATTCCCTTGAAGTCTGGTAAATCTAAGAATCCATGTTTACTGTGGAATCCCCTTTTCTGTATGAGAACTCAGCAGCCCCAGTAGATGGATATGATTGGTGACTGCATGTGAAGACACACTCCAAGACAGCTTTAACTGATACCATTGGTAAGACCACACTTTGTTATGCTGAGATTCCGAGCAGCATTTCTCACACAGAGATGACCAAAACTACAGAAGAACACAGGGGGAATAAGCTAAGCAGGGGCACACCACATTTAACTGCAATACTTTGACTTCCCCTTCCCTTTGCGAAGTTGGATACAATTTTAGGATCACAGAGACAAAAGCAGAGCATAAAAGTTTGACTTGTTAATATGCTATAAAAGACCAAGATTCCTAAAGAAACAAACCAATTCTTACAGAAGGGTACTACCAGCACTGCTAGCCAGCTCTAGTCTTCCCTTTCCTAGAGTCTTGCTGTGGCCATGGTGCACAAATCCCAGACAATAAAGAACATTTAACCTCACTGTTCTCATGATCACCATGAACAGTAAAGCTTCCATCACACAGTCTTGGGCAGATTGAAGCAGGGTTTTCTGTGTGTGCTCCAAAAGTTTTTTTCAGTGTACAGACAGCAGAAGTAAAAAGAACAGTTAAATATTACTTTTATTTTTTAAAAGTTGCATTTCCCTTTCTGCTGTCATTTACTTAATACATGATTGTATTCAAACTAGGGGAAGTCTAGAATTAATTTTGAGCTTAAGAAATTAATTTGTTTTATATAGGTAACACATCATAACACATCTTGAAGATATCCTTTTTTCCCATACTGCAGGGAAAAAAACAACAACAAAACAAACAAACAAACAAACAAAAACCCCAAAACAACAACCAAAAAACCCCACCAAAAAAAAAAAAACAAAAAAAAAAAAAAAAAAAAAAAAAAACCACAAGAGCCAAAGCACTGTTTCCTCCAACACTATACAAGCCTCAAAAATCTCTATAATCAGAATTGACAATAAAATCCTTTCCACAAAAACTGCAGGCACAAAAGCTTCGCTGTTTACCACCTTGTGGCTTGAACTGGTAACTATTCCTTCTTGCACACACACCATTCCATCATTTTTCAGTTAACCAGACTCAAGCAGCAAGCACCGAAACTTCACTCCAAGTTCCTCCCCAGAGGAAAATCGAAGACCGTAAGAACAGCGAGACTGACACGGAGCCCAGGCTGCCCCAGCCGATGGGGTAAATCCAGAACGCCAGGACTGTCTGTCTAGCTCCCACACAGCTCTGAACATCCTTCACATAGGCAGCAACCGGTTGCCCAAGCTGCATTTCCCTTCTACTCACAGCTCTTCGCAGCAGCCCCCTGGAAGGATGCTACGGTCAAAGGAACAAGAAACATGCGGTAAAGGGAGAAGTACTTACATCCCGGAATTTGTTCCAGTACTTGTCTTTATCGTACTGCGAAACTGTGCTCAGCCATTTGTCGTTGTCCAGGAAATTGCCATGATTGCTGTTACTCGTGATGATCTCAGGATGCCGGCTCTCCACTTGCAGGAAGCACCAGGCAGCGATCACCAGCACCCCCGACATCTGCAACGAGAGAGGAGCGGAGAGAGGAGCGGAGAGGGGCAGCAGGGCAGCAGAGGCTCCTCGGGCACGGAAGTTTTGAGGGGACCCAAGTCAGGGCCACTCGCCCCTCACGGCCCTCGCCAACTTCTGGCTGCAGAGACGGCTCTGCCGAGACCCACCACCTGCCCGCCCAGCCCGGAGGGGCGGGGAAGAGCATCAATAACAACAATAATAATAACAACAATAAAAACAAAACGGGCCACTGGGGCCGGGAGGGGAGCAGCCAGGGGACAACAGCACGACGGTACGGAACCGCAGCCAAGCGCCCCGCGGGCGCAGCCAGCGCTGGCTCCGCGAAGTTTGGCGGCCAGGGAGGAGAGGAAGCTCCTACCTCCGGGCAGCGCCGCCGGCCGCAGCTCCCAGCACCGTGCGCTGCTTGTCCTCCTGCTGCTGCCCGTGCCGCGGTGCGCGGTGCCGCTGAGCTGCGTGCGGTTCCGCTGCGCCCTGTGCGGTGCTGCTGCGCTCTGTGTCTGTGCTGTGGCGGTGCCGGGGAGCTGTGTGTCTGTGCCGTGGCGGTGCCGCTGGCTGTCTCTCTGCTGTCTGTCTGTGCGTCTGTCCGTCTGCCGGAGCCCGCGCGAAGCCGCTGCCCGTGGCGGGTCCTCAGCCCGCCGTGTGCGTGTGGCGGGCGCGCGCGGGGCGGGCGCGGCCGCCGTCTGGCGCCCCCTGGCGGGCGCGGGGCGCGCTGCAGCGCGGGGGCGGAGCGCGGGCAGCGCCGCCGCAGGCCCGGGCTGGGCCGCGGGAGCCGTGAGGCGCTGCCGGCCTCAAACACCAACAGGAGAGGAAGCGTTTACCGCAAAGGCGGCTGCCGAGAGGGGAGTGGTGGATTCTTTTCGGTGCTACCCAGAGACGGGACAAGGAGCAATGACCATAAATTAAACGCAAGTTTCACCTGAACATGAGGAAGAACTTCAGGTGTGGGGGTGCCTGGAACGGGCTGCCCAGCGAGGGCGTGGAGTGCCCCTATAACGGAGACATTCGAAACTCATGTGGAGACGTTCCTGTATCACCTGTTCCAAGTGACCGTGCTCTGGCATTGGAGTTGGGCTGGGTGATCTCCAGAAGTCACTCCCAATCCAAACAATTCGGTGATTCAGTGAAACCTGGGGAGGGTGTCTGTGAGGATAACCCGGAGAGGAGGGCTGTGAGGACTCCTGGGAAAAAGGTCTGTAAGGAATCTTGGGGACAATACCTGGAGAGGGTGCCTGTGATCGTATCTGGGGACGATCTCTTGGGTGAAATCGTCAGTGAAGTCTTCACTACCACTGCAGTCTGAAGAGACGTCATAGTGGCCTTAAAAAACATAAAACCCCCGTCAAACAACCTCTTTCATATGCCCTGGGAATGGTATGACTGTCTTGAGTCAATGGTTTTACAATTTTACACTGCTTTTACAGAAGCAGTGACATTTCCAAAGCCCAGAGGTCATCCCGGGTTTCTTCAAGGAAGGAGCTCTCTCCCTGGCTCAGCACATCCCACGCTGTGGAGAGGTTTTGCTCCTGCACTGGGGAGTAACGTCAGGCACTGCCCAGGCCGTCAGAAGGGTGTAGTGAGAACCAGCTCCTGTTGGTAAAAAGGGGGAGGAAACATACAAGGGGAGCTGCATCCGTGTGGGAACTGGGTGAAAGGAGGAGACCTTCTCCAGGGATAAAAAAGAAAGTTCTTGATTGTCAGTAGAGGACATGGGAGGGAGGGGCTGGCTGGCTTCCTACATCAGGGAACTCATCCCCTGATTTATCATATGGTGCCCAAAAATGAGGACATATACTTTTGATGGTCATTTTAAATACAGCTGTGACTACTGTTCCATATGACATTTTTCAAATATGGTTCATTAAACTGTCATGTAAATAATGCCTTTTCTCTCCAAAAAACTGTCAATGAGGTTAATTCCACATTTCCTGACAGACACATTAGACGTTTCTTTAGTAATACAGAAAAGAGTTGTGTTTATTTTTTACTGCTGCATCTGAGCACTGAACACAGGATACAAATCTATTCTTAAATCTGGTTTCAGATACAGTTCCCAAATGTGATGTTACCTCAATAAAATCCTCTGGGATTTAAAAAAAACTGTGAAGTTTTATTCATTTTTACAGCAGACAATGAGCACGTGCATGTAAGTGCCCCACATTGAATCCTCCCCTTGGTGCACATAGAATCTAATGAAAACTACATGCCTGCAGGAGGGCAAAATATAACCCAATAAAAGCAACAAATAGAAGAAATCCAAACCAAAGCCCTGCAGATTTGGATGTAAATCCTTACCTAAAAGCCTTGCTCTGCCCTCTCTTCTACAATGGACTGTACTTTTTTGCTGAAGGTGGCCCAGGGCACATACTCCTCTCAAATCTTTCTGTGGTGCTGGTGATCGCTGCATCCCATAAACTGTTCATTTCAGTGAGAGATAAGGTTTATATACCTTCCACCTGGCAGGATCAACACAAGCTTCCTCCCTTCTTAGCTTAACAGGGTAATATTCAGTTTATTCTGGTGGGCCTTTTCTGTAAGCCTTTTAACAATAGAGAATTTGTCTCTTCTGCACAGACATTAAAGATCTTTCACCATTTAAAATCTGATGGTTAAGAGATTTCCCCTGTGACCTTATGGTAATCCATGACCATTCAGCTTTACATAGTTCCATTTGACTCGTGTTTCACCCCAGATACCACTGCATTTCAGCACCATCAGGCACAAACCCCATTACCTGCTAAATATTTGAGGATTTTTATGCACCATGACAGTTGTGCATAGATGCACTAATTATCTTTCTCAATCCCACTGGAGATCTGACCAACTCAATTCTCCCTTGAGCAATTCTTCAACCCATGAATTCCTAGGCTTGGCTGGTAAAAAGCAGCAGAACATTCTTTCCTCCCAAACTTGCAGGAGTTCTTATTGGAGAATGTCTCCATTATATATTTATAGAGCAGTTAGTTCACCCCTGTGAAACACTTGTTAGTACAGTGAACCAGGCTCAGTCCTTTGGTGACCTCAGTACTGTTGACTTCGCTGAGTGTGAAATAGGCTGCTCTGCTTGCCAGTCAGACCTGAATGATAAATTGCAGAAACATTGTATATAAAGTAATTACTTTCTTACGTGTAGAATTTGTGTCAGAAATGTGTCTTCGTTTATTTAATTACCTCATAATCCCATATTCAACACATAGCTAATCTTTCTTGATCCTGTAAAACACAGCCTTCCTGTTTAATCCCGATAGCAATCTCTATCACTCTGCAGCTGCAGCATTTCACCTCCACACTGTTTATCATCCATGACTAGAATTGAAACACCCTTGTTGGCTGGTTTTTATGTTGGGACAGTGCTATAGTTTCCTCTGATTCTCATCCAAAACTACAATATTGTTGTGGATGCCTCAAGTATTTGGTATTTTGGATGTAAACAGCTCCTTTGTTCCAAGTTAGAAGAAATACTAAGGAGGTAAAAACCTTTCTTTTATTTTTTGTTTGTTTGTTTTTTCTTTTTTTTTTCCCTGCAGCTGTAAAAAGTGACACAGTATTGATTTTGGATATTATTTGATATTTCACCTGTATAAATCTCTTGATCAGGAGTTGTGTTAACAACCATACCCTGCCAGCTTCTCTGTGCTGTGGCCTGTCCGGGTTTGTTCTGGAAGCAGAGCCCTCTGGTGCAGAAAGCATTTCACACACATAAGAATCAAGGGATAGATCTCCACTAAGACTAAACTTCCCATGCAGAGGAATGTCTTTGTTGTCTTAATAGGGCACTTTGGAACTCTCAGTTAACTGACAGAGCCTTCAGCACCAGCCTTGCCAGCAGCAGAGACACAAACCAAGAATGACTGGAAAACCAAGTCATGCACTCCTGCTTTCCCTGAAGCTCCCTTCACCTGGTCTCACACCAGAGCCCGTAGCCAGAAGCTGTGTACCCAGCAAGGTAAAGTCCATAGCAATAGCACAGAAGCCTTAGCATGTGCAGGATTTTACTTCCCCCTTTATATTCGGCAGCAAGATTCACTATTTCACCACCTTGATTGCTTCCATAGTTCTTGAGGCAGAGGCTGCAGCCTTTGTAGTAGCACCTAAAAGCTTCCGTGGACTTTTATTCATGGCTTTCCCCCTTCTCTTGTGAGCCACAATTCGACTCACTTAATTTTAAAAAAAAAAATTCACTAAGGAAAGAAAATCTTTACAGTGACAAATGTTTAAAGTGTATTTCTTTACTGTACCAGAGTCCTTCATGACTGGATTAGGAAAATTCAGCTCTGGTAATTTAAATGGATTTAAAAATATATCACTGCAAAGGTGCATGCAGTGGGACAGACCTTTATTTAACAATCCTTTGTGTCTTCCATATACTGCCGTATCCTTTTAATAGACAGGAGTTTTATTTCCTCCTGTGAGTCTCAGAACTGCAGATTCAGCTTTGTTAGCTCTGCTGGGCAATTGTGCAGGAAAAAAACCCTAGTTTAAGCTGCACAATAAGTGATCCATGGCTTATACAAAGTTCCTGAGACATTTGTTCATTTTACAACAGGCCATAATTCATCTTTAAAAATACTACAAATACAGGTTCTGATTTGACCTCTTTATTTGTCTCTGCTCCTGGCCTCTGCTCCCTGTGACAGCCACATTTTATTGCTTCAGTGCCTGGAATTTTGCAAGAATTGGCTAAATGCTTGCCACCAGAAGTGCTGCGAGTGTGTCCCATGGCAGAAGAGTTATGCATTTCTAGCAGGCTGTCCCCAGTTACTTTGGTGACATTGCAGTTGGTGCAATCCCCCACGTTCTCATCCTTCTGAAGCACTTAACCCCAATATCAGTGATTTCACTGAAAGAGAAAGCATCCAGTGATCTGGAAAGATCATCGTGTTCTGCAATCTATTTGCTAGGGTGTATTAGTTGTAATAACCCAGATTAAAGTGAGTTGAAATACTGGCAAGTCCTGGACAAAGTAAAAGCTGAACACAGGTTATGGTAGAGAGTATAAGAAACAAAATAATTCAAGTAAAAGAACAGTAAAAAAATTTATAAGTAAAATTGTTTATCACATAAAAAAGTGGAAGGTGGTTTTCTAGGTAAGTCTTTCTCAAGTTGCAAAGCTGTCTTGCCCACATCTGGCTAGAAGTGAGAAGAGAAAAATACATTTAAAATTGAAAAGATTCATGTTCACATAAAATGTATAATCAAATACAAGGTTACACTTACACTGAAAAATGAGATTGAGGCAGGTATTCACAATGTTTGTGTCTTCTGAGGCTAATCCTCAATTTCCTCTATCATAAGGGAAAAGAAACAAGTCTTCCTGAATGATGTCTTAGAGCTGAAGTCTGTCCTAACCACTGTGGATTGTTTAGTGAAGATGTTATCAACTCCAGAAAGAGCCTCCAAAACCAGAGGC